AGCAATGGGAGCTTCTGAGGCATTTTTGAAATACAGCGTATTGCAGTGGTCTGCTCATGAGGTCACAAGTCACTATTGTCAGGGCCTCTGGTTCAGAAAGGTGTGCAATTGGTGCACAGGCCAAAACTGAGCAAAGGTTCTCTAGCCATGCCCTCCATTAGTGGTCGAGAGCCTTGGAGCACCCCAAATCACAGACCTATTCCTTGGCAGGGAGCATAGTCCAATCCAAAGCCAAAATTGGAACCAGGATAAAGGTAGAACACCAGTGAACTGCCATCCTTTACTGCAAAGATTCAGTCTGAGCTTGTTTTTGCTGATCCAGATCTTCACAGCCTCCAGGCACTGGGTCAGACCTAGATGGTGATACACAAATAAGTATCATCAGCATATTGATGGTATCTCACCTCAGACTGACAAGTGACCTCACCCAGCAATGACATGAAGAGGGGGGGGGGGGGGGGGGGCGCTAAGCCCTGCAGTGCTTCATATTGGAGCAACCAGTAATCATTAAAACATGTTTTAAGTCAAAGGGCATGCAAAGCATTCCGCATAAGAGTAGGCTCTTGCAGTGCCATTTCTCTTGCTGCATTTAACACGTTCCTCAAATTGCCTACTTTCTTTCTCTCTGGGCACAACAGCCTGCAAATCAGGAGTGAATCAGCCACAGTTCCATTGTGTTCTCTGTTAGCAGAGGAACAGCAGTGGCAAAAAGGAAAAAGAGAAGAAAAAAAAAGCAGCAGCAGTGGGCATTTTTCTAAGTGTGGGCCTGGCAGGTGCCTGATAATGCTGATAATGCTCTGATGCGGGCTCTGGTTGTTAAGGCTGAGTCACGCAACTAAATAATAAGGTTTACCCTCCTTGTAAAACACAGATCTAGGTAGTTCTGTAATGTGTCTGGGATGCAGATGTGATTCATCCAGACAATGTGTGGACATGCATATTCTTCGAAGGAGATCTGTTCCATTTGCAATCCAAAAGAATTTGGGATAATTAACGTTTTAAATACATCCATCCAACCACAAAGCCATTAATAAGAATAAAGCATGAACTTTAAAAGATAAAATCGTTTACTCCTGAGCTAAGCTGACTTCTTATGTGGCAGGACATGAACTTATGTGTGTCATTCATATTACCATCAGCTCCTTATTCAAAGAAAGAACTCATATGTTTTGACTTGCCTGATGCTCAGCTCCCAGACAGCCTCTGGGAGGCTGGCATTTCCTTTTCTCCCATTCTGAGCTGTTGTGATCCTCCCTAGTCCTAGCATTCATCCTACCAGTTCTTGGGGACCAGCTGCGGCTGGAATGGAATTACCCCTTCACATACTTCACTACCTAGTTTGCAAGTAAAATTGGTATCTTTTCTGAGTCAATATGCTGGTTATTTGCCACGGGGCTGCAGAAGAATCTCATTTTGACAAGAGGTGTAGAAACTGGAGCTCTGAAGATTATCTTAGTCCAGCCTTTCCCAACCTGACTGCCCTCCAAATATGTGCATTTTAACTCAGCAAATTTAATTTTCAGCAAAGGCCGTGGTGTTTGGGGAATTCTGTGAGTGCAAGTCCATATTCAGGTAGTCCTCATTTATCAACTGGCAACTCTGTCACTAAGTGGTGCGGTTATTAATGAAATGTCATGTGACTGTGCCGACCAATGATGTCAGCACTGGCTGTGGCCATTAAGCAAATCACCTTGAGTCATTAAGTGTGACATCGCATGCCCATGACTTGCAACTTCCTACTGGCTTCCCCACTGACTTTGCTTGTCAGAAGCTGACTATAAAGGTTGCAAATGGCGACCATGTGACCGCGGGATGCTGCGACCATTGTAAATGTGCACAGGTCGGCAAGCACCCAAATCACGGTCACATGACCGCGGGGATGCTGCAACAGCTGCAACTTCAAGAACCGGTCATAAGTCTCCTTTTTCAGCCCTGTCATAACTTCAAATAGTTGTTGAATGAGTGGTCGGTAAGTGAGGACTATCTGTATCTAGAAGTTGCCCAGGTTGGGGAAAGATGTTTTGGTTTACCAGATGGGTCAGCCTTCTGTAATGAAGTGTTTTCCTGATGCATTAAACTTCAATTCACATAATCCCCTATTTTGTTCTCAATCCAAGCCTATATGTATTACGGAGCTATTATGTCCATTATACTATTCAGGCTCTTGGTTTCTCATAAAAGGAGGGCAAGCGCAAGCACAGTGAGTCATGTCAAAAGTTTCCTATAAATGAAGAATTAGCTAAAACAGCTAAAATATCTGAAATTCACCTGAAGAAATAAATTAAGAAAGCAAGGACATTAAAAAATGAGAAGTTGGAACAAGTGGAACAAGTTTGATAACTGTTGACTGCTGCTGGTAGGGCTTTGGTGGTACACTTTACCTACCTGATTCAATGGTCTGGGCCCCACTGAAATAAACAGGTGGATTTTGGTTTTCAACTCCTCTTTAAATTGACAGCTTCTGAGAATCCAAGATGTCATTTATATTTGAAAAATAGTCTTCCTCTCTCTGCAATGTCTGTGGTGCAAAGGGGCTTTTGTTTCCACATTTCTCATTTAGATCATCAGCATCAGCACTTGCGAGGGAGGGCAAATGATTACATGTCCAAGATGATGTCATCATGCAAATGTCACCACTTATGTTCTTAGGTCAGATAGCATTCATGGGATGACTTCATGCACGTGTTGTCGCTTTGGCATCGTCAAAGTGTGTTAGGCATGCTGCCAATTATCAGTCTAGGGAAGAAAAAGTTTCCCATCAGCTGTCACAATAAACAGTGTGAGTATGTGTTGAAAGCTGTCTTTGACCAACAAAGACCATTAACACCACTGTTTTACATTATATTTCAGTGTTTATTTTACAAGTAACATGTTTTTCTAAGCAGCAACAAGCAGTTTTTCTAAGCAGTGACAAGTTGTTGCTTTTGTTCAGCAAGAGACTGTTTCCATGGTTCACTGTTCTCAGCTGCAGGAAGGAAGGATGAAGGAAAGGCCCAAAGATGGTGGAAGTTAAGCAACCAGTAGGCATCTTGTTGCTGTTTGCTCTTTAACTATGATCAAATGCATGTTACCTTGCATGTGCAGAATGAGTTTTGAAACTGATGGGAATTCCCAAACAAAGCTTAAAATATAATTAGTAGATCTCATAGCAAGATGGTTGGTGAAGGCTTTTGTTGTTTTATTTTGTTTTTAAGGGTCTTTGTAGTGCTTCTAGAGCAGAGTTTTTCAAACTTGGCAACTTTAAGGTGTGTGGATTTCCAGAATTCCCCAGCCAGCATGTTTGAAAAACATTGTTCTAGAGTATTGGTATGAATTAGTCTAACCTTCACGGCCTGGTTCCTTTAGGTCTGTTGGTGGTATATCCCCTAGAATTCCCAGCCCCCTAAGCCCCCCCCCCAAATTTGGAAACTAGTCATAACACAACTGGAGGGCACCAAGTTGGATATAGAGCAGCTTTACATTACTTGTTGGTAGCAATAGTTGAAATCAGGGTAATAAATTAGGGCTGCTGCTTTTTATCAGTTTTAAAACAAATTTATATTAATCAGGCATATTTTAATAAGGTGAGTTTATCAAAAAAAAGTTGCAAGTGATGTTCTATTTTTTGGAGGTTCATTCCATCTTTTCATTTCTTAGATGCCCTTAATTATGCAAGACCACAGAACAAATAATTAGTATTGGTATTCGCTTTTCTGCATGAGCTCAAGGCAACTTATATAGAAATCGCTCTTCCTTTTCATCCGAGGACCTCTGTGAAGGCAATAGTGGGGCAAAGTGTGACTGGCCCAAAGTCACCCCTTGAGTTTCCAGAACTAAAATTGGACTTGAACTTGGATGTCCTCAATCCTAGTCCTGCACCTTAACTGCTATAGTATACTTTAAATAATGATAGTAAATAGCATTTTTTCTTAGAAACATTCTGCATTTGTTTTGGCCAAATATGCACTGAATATAGCAGACAAGTCATGTAAGGACTGTGGTACATGCATTCTCTGATCAGGATTGGTTACGTTTTCACATAATGTATCAATCATCAAAATCCCAGTTAGAACCATCCCGCAGTGCAACCACACTGCAATCTGGGAAGGAGGAAAGCAGCTAGGTGTAGTTATGAATATATTGAGCTCTTAGGCTTGACTGCAAAAACAGATAAGAATTGGGTAGCAACACATTGTGTTTGTGTGTGTGTAAACTGCCAAGTGCACAGAGGCTTCTTTGAGTTTCATACATTTAAAAAGTTCCTAGTTAGATCATTCTTAAATAAGAGCTTGCCGAATTTCAGAGGTATATAAACCACAATTCTTCAAATGTCTGAGCAAAAATCTGGTACGCCAACACATAGGGTCTCTTGGGTGTGTCTGTGTACATACACATGTGAGAAATAATATCTGAGCCTGAAAAGCTGTAGCTGCCTACCACAGATCTAGCAAATTCTTCTTAAGAAATATTGCCCTCCCAGTATTCACAACGGATGAAAGCATTATGCACATATATTGGGTTTCATTGGATACCTATTAAATCTAATTTTAGCAGAATGTTTCTCTCCGAAAGTCTATGTTTCTTGAAATCATTTTATGTTGTTTATATTGTACTATAGGCAAAGTCTAGATTTAATTTTATTAGAGTTATACGCATGGAAATCTGTGATATAAAGATATTCATTATTAACTTGATTCTGATTTATTTAAGTGTTTATTCTTAGGACGAAATTTAGATTTGAACACAAACTGGTACAATTTAAAAAGACTGGAAAATATTAAAGGTTCCCATATATCGTTCATGCCTATGAAATCTGCATAAGTAAGATCATCCTTTTGCATCTCTACCCTCAGGATAAAATGAATGATCCAAATCTCAAAAGTGTGTATAAGATATGAGTGTATTTGAAAGAGGAAGAAAAATGTAGGCAGATCTTTTTCTAGCAGAAACTGGAATTTTATTTTCTTAGCAGCCACTCTTTGAGTACATCTCTTGCTCTTTTTTTTTTCTTTCAAATGCAGTTTAGAAATCCTGGCAACGAGTTGTTCTTTTGAATAGGGTGTCGCTTGCCTCCTGTCAAACTGAGAAAAGGACATCCTGTTTGGACTAGGTGGAGTAAGTAATTTCAGCTTAACCAAACGTTGACACTGCCAGGGGCTTGGCGTTGACTTTGATAAGGAAAGTTCTCTGCCAAGGGAAGGGAGAGCAGTTGTTGCTTTCTGCTTGCCCCTTGCCATGCTCATTGTGACCTCTCAGTTACAAATGATATTCTCTGCTCCCGGAAGGGAGCTGTGATTCTTCTTCTGTGTCAGACCTCCACGATTCCTCATCTCCATAAGTAAGGCTGCATTGGTGAGAGGGTTCTACAAGCGGCCCTCGCAAAGAAGTATTTGATAATGGCTAGGAGACTTCATGGGGCAAGTTAAAATCTGACGAAAAATCACTACTGCTGGATTAACAGAGTTTCTGTGAAGATAACTGGATTAGGATGGGCAGTCAGATTTCTACTATAGCATAATTGCGTGCCCCATAAATCCACTGGCACTAACTGCTAAATTTTCAGGTAGGAAGGGAAAGTTTGGAGATTCCTTTTAACATCCCATTTCTGCAGCAATTTCCTTTGTTTGGTTTTGCAATTGCAGTTAGTGATTTGCCACCAAATTTTGTTTCACTCTAGTCCAGAACTCTTCCTAAACTGAGATTAAGTTAACATAATTGGGCTTTAAATCAGCTAACCCTTTTTTCAGCAAATGTTTCTCTTTTGTGTTTCCTTGTGAGACTGATCCCAGAACACCTCTGCATCTGCAGCTGAGTTGAGTTGGAACATCTCCATTCTGAATAATTCCAAATTAATGAACAAAGTATTTATGTTTTAATTATTGTATGTTATTTTTTTTAGCTTTTGTGGCATATAAAAATTATGACTAATGAATTTTCAGTTGATAATAATTGATAATGGCTAATGGAAAATGTTATATAGCAGTTAATTATGAATAGCTGTTTTGATATGATTGATGGGTTAGATTGGAAGGAGGAAATTGGAGGCATCCTGACTCTGGCTCCACCCATTTATTAACTAGTTAACCTACTGCTGAGGGTGCAACTCTTGGCCTATTTCCCAATTTCTGAATAAAGAATATGATGATATGTATAATTGTCTTCTATACGCTGGTGGTATGAATGATCCTAGCTCTTTTTTAACGGTGAACCTGCAATTGGGGACTACTGGAAAGGATAGCAGGATATGATCTACCAGCCTTGGCCTTGATTGTGAACTGAGCTTCCCTGCTTGGAATTTGTATATACACAGAAACTCCTTAGTTCAGCAGGGAAAACCATGAATTGGGGTTCTTTCTGCATACTGAATTAGTGCTGAGTTGCCCTTTGAGGGCCTTGAGTAAGCTGTATTCCACAGAAGGATCCATAGCATAATGGCAGGCAGGCAGGTAGGTGGAAGCATTTTCCCTGTGAGTACATCTGGAAGTGGAACTACATTACTGACATTAGTACTCTGAACTATTACTCAAGCAGGCTGCAACCGTCATGGATAGCAAACTGGATGGTGAAAACCAGCTTGGTGCTAGACCCATCAACCACAGGACATGGTAGACAGCATGTGGCCTGTGGGCAGACAGGCAGGCAATTTACCACACCTCCTTGCTTGGAACTATGCATTAATGCGGTGTCTAAGCATCAGGAGCAAAACTTTTAACATCATCCTGAGGATACATTGTGCATGTGTTAATATACCTGTGCTATCAGGGGGTACTAAGCCATGATATTTTAGACCATTTTTACACTTGGGTGGGGGCAGTAACAGATACTACATGGAGCTTTTTTTAAAGTCCTGAAATCAACATTCCTGATCAAAGATGTGGTCTGTGGAAATGACACTCTGTGCACACTCACATCTCTCACTGGAAGTGATAAACCTAACACTGTAGCTCTTTAATGGAAGTTGTATATGTTGATACAGTATGCATTTTGAAAGAAGCAGCTTTCTCAGTTGTATGTTAGCTTGTGCCATTGGGAAGATAAAGGAGAAAATAAATTCATTACAAGACTGTGTGTCGTGTTCTAGGCAGGCAAACCACACTTCTTTTGGCCGGTTTGTGTATAATTGGGAAGAGTAATTTGTAGAGGACGACATAGCGGCCTAGTGCATTTAGAAATGTGTGGTCAGCCCAGATGTATTGGGTTTTCCCCATGTGCATTTTGTCTAAAATTATGTGTTTCCTTCTTGTAAAAGAAGATGAGATTATGAAATATTCATACAAGATGGGTTAAAGTAGCTTTTCAGCTTTGTCCTAATGTGATGGCATTTGGAAATAAAGCTTGTCCTCTAAAGCTGGGGAAGTTCCTTTCCCTGTTCCTGTTGGAGGTTTTTAGGTCCCACCTCCAAATTTATCTGTGTAGTTTTCAAGGCAATAAAGTACTTTTTATTTCTCCTGACTCAAAAGACAAGATTCTCAAAATACTAGCTGCTTCTCGAGAATCACATGGCCCTGCTCCAAGAGGCCACACCTCTGTGATTTTAGTCTGGTTCCAAACAAGATTAATTGTGCAGAGGAATTAGGGCTAATTAAAACCTCATTTTTCTTAGAGCTGCTGCGTTGCCTTTTTGAAAATCGCTGTCTCTTCCAGAATCTGCTGTGGTTTATTGCACTTCCTTATTTACCGTGTCCTTATGAGTTGCTATCCTTATCATTAAATTTACACAGTTGTGAGCACATATTAATGGTGCAACAGCACACAGGTCTGGATCTCATACCCAGATTACAGAGCTCATTGCCAGAATAAATAAGGAAAACAGTGTTTCTGATCCTGACGAGAAGCGTGTTGCTGTTCTTTACAATTTCTTTGCACTGGGTAAAAGAGAGCATTTTACTCTCCAGAACTCACCCTGCTGAGAATACAGGTAGGTCTCAATTAGTGCGGTTAATGAATCCCACAAAACAGACGCATTATTCAAATTTGTACTATTCAAAGTGATTTTTCTATGGAAAATAAGGTAATTGGTTCTAGCTCGATGGAAATAGGCAATGAAATCTTTTAAACATAATTTTTATATGTATATTAATAAAACAATACAGTAAAGGATAAATATAATTTAAATTTATGGTTAACCAAGTCACAGAGTAGTTATAGAAAGCAAAATAAAAACAAAAAAACTTTAAAATATCATTCCTAAAGATAAGTTTACACTGACAAAAACATCTTTATTGTCTCTCAATCTTCTTGTAGATGTTTGCAACCCACAAAAAGGGGGTGCAACTTTACTTTTTTTCTTTAATTTCCCCTGCATGTTTTATAATATTGTGCACCATAGATTCAGCCATTCCATCATCTCGTCCCATTTTAGCATTGCTATGACCATGTTCATGTCATTCAATTACATCAAATTTTTGCTCTAATGTAATAATGAGTCTCTTCTTTTTTGAGCTTGTACTGTTTTCTTCCAACGGAGTCTTCCTTTGCTGCATTTTGCACACGCGAAGATGAGCAGCGTCTAAAACCCCAACTGGGCATGCACTAGCCTCAATTGCACACATGCTAGCCTCACATTAACTGAATTTTGGGTCACATTAAACATGACCAGGTATCAATTTATAATTCACACTAAATCAGATATTGCATTATTTGAACGTGCACTAATCGTGACCTTCCTGTATGCATAAATATTTATCTTGCAAAAAAGAAGAAAATCTCCAGTTGCATAGGAATGGCCTGCAAAGAGAGAGGCAGCTCCAGATGCTTTTATACACACACAGATATAATTTTTATTAAGAAATAAAAGGATTTTACACAGAATTAGAAGGCTAGAAAAACATAAAAAGAAAAGTAAAAACAAGAAAAAGAAGTGAAAGAATAAAAGAAAAAGTGAAAGACAGGAAAAGAGTAGGAAAAGGAAAAAGAAAAATATCTAAAAAGCAACTTCCGATTTTCTTTGCACCAGTTACAAGCATAATAATTACCATTTCCACCCTCCCAAATTACATATCAAGCTTTCCTTCTTCCCATAAACAACCCTTTTTAATCAGTAAATCCTGAAATCACCAATTCATTTTTGTCCATTTTCAGCAAAAAGTCTGTAAAGGGTTTATAAAAATAATTGTTGTTTACTCCTTAGTCAAAAGCTCCAGGCGCTTTTCAGGCCACTGGTATTGGCCATAGAGCCACCACGTCCATAGTGTCTAAAGGAGGGGAGAGGTCTCAATATGTGCCCCGCTCTCCAGCCCTGGGCTCAAAACTAGCAGGAGCAGGGCAGTTAAGTTCAAAGGTAGGATGATGCCATCCACCCTGTGGAAAGTGTGCCATGCGTGGGGGGATAACATGGCATCTAGAAGTGACTGACTACAATTCCCAGCTTCTCACTGGCCTGGGGCTGAGCTGATTGTTACCTGTTCCTTGTTCTGTCATTCTTGGTCACTTCTAGAGCTGAGTGCAGGCCTGACGTCACCGTACAGGATTTGCAGAGAGCTGCCAGGCCCCTTTGTCAGGGCCTGCCCTTGGCTCCCATACCGTATCAAAAACGAAAAGCTCTGGTGTCAGGTGCCCGGCAGTCAAGCAGTAGTGCTTTTCATTTCCAAACATGGCCCTTCTGTAGCATCGCCTCAGCACATTGAGGTCATCCGCCAGCATGGAGTTCAGTATCATTAGTATGCTGATGATACCCAATTGTATATCTGCACTCCATACCAGGCAAATGATGTTGTTTGGGTGTTGGCTCAGTACCAAGAGGCTGTAAGGGCCTGGATAGGGAGAAACCGGCTACCACTCAACCCTATCAAGGCGGAGTGGTTGTAGGTTTTTGGCCCCCTGGGGTCAACAGAGTTGACATCTCTGACTCTGCATGGGGTAATGCTCCCCCAGACAAATCTGGTGTACAATTTGAAATAGGTGGCAGCCATGGGCAGGGGGCCTTTGCACATATCCATCTTGTGCACCAATTGCACCCATTCCTGGACCAAGAGGCCTTGCTCACAGTCACTCACACCTTAGTCACTTCCCATCTGGATAACTGCAATGTGCTCTACATGGGGCTGCCCTTGAAGACCACCCAGAATTTACAACTGGTTCAGAATGCAGCGGCACTCACAGTTTTGGGTCCCCTGCAGTTCACCCAAGTAACACCACTGCTGTGTGAGCTGCACGGGCTCCCAGTTGTTTTCTGGGTGCAATCCAATGTGCTGATTATCACCTTTAAAGCCCTACATGGCACAGGCCAGATTACTCATGGAACCACCTCTCCCTAAGGGTATCTGCCCATCCTACTAGGTTAGATAGAATGGGCGTGCTCCAGGTCCCTTCCCTTAAATGTTGCCACCTGATGGGACCTCAGGGGCATGTCTTCTTGGTGGCCGCCCCAGCCCTTTGGAATAGCTTTCCCACCTGAGATCAGAGGGATCCCTACCCTTTTAGCCTTCCAGAGGGCCGTGGAGACCTGGCTCATCCCCCAAGCACTGGGCTAGAATGGGGGTTGAACTGTGAGGCTGTTTGGTCTGGCACATGGGGGGAAGGGTACTTTTGTTGTTAGCTATGTTTTTATGGATTGTTGTGAGCCACCTAGAATCATTATATGAGATAGACAGCCATATGATTCCTATAAATAAATAAATAAATTAGGCCAGCGGCTGACTCTGGCTGAGGGAAGCATCATTGTTGGAGAGAGGCTACTGTGACCCTGGACTGAGTCCCCTCCCTTCCCCCTTGGGCTATCTGCTGGGAATTTTCAATGTATCTGGAAGTTGCCTGGTTGGGGAAATCTGCTATATTGCTATGAAACATATGGGAGGGAACAAAACTAGAACTTTCAGAGCCTGTTGAAAACTGTTTCCCCAGGATTTAGTGGTATTTGTATAGCCAGGATGTACAAAGGCTATTTTTCTATGCTGAATGCATCAGGACATGAGATTTTGTCTTCCCCACCCCCATAGCCTAGATTTTCTTTTTTACCCCGTGCAATACTAGGTGGATGTCATAACTGTTGTGGCATCTCTAGGCCTGGCTTTGTTTACAAACACAGTGATACTTCTGGATTGGTGCTTCTGTAGGACATGAAACCATAGAAACCTTAGGTCAGATTGTAGCCTTCCTTTTATTCTCCTCTCTTTCTTCGTTTCCTATTCTGAACTGTGAGTCAGCAACCTGGCTTGGCACTGTGAAAATATGGTGCCGTAGAACATAACACTTCAAAATATAGTGAGAACGTTCTCCTTCTTACTATATTTTGTAATATAGGTTAATATATTTATAGGTTTGTAATATAGGTGGGGGAAGAGTTTGGTGGGACTCATAGTCATCCTTCTGATTCCTCTGGAATTTGTCTCCCTGTGTGCTTTTCAGGTTTGGAAGAAGATGGTGAGATTCTACAGATTAACCAAAGCTTTGAGAAGAGTGCACCTTTGATGAAGGAATAATTGCTGGACGTCAGCCGTGATGAGGCTTCTCCGAAGGCATTATGCCCCACTAAAGCTAGCTTTGGTGGGTGTTGTCTTTGTAATCTTCCTCTTCATAATGCAAAGAGATGTGGGCAATGGGGAACAAAAGGAGGAACCATGGCTGAAAAATATTGTGGACAGGAAAGACCAAATGATAGACATAATGATGGGAGCTGTCAACAACATCCGTGACTCTATGCCAAAGTTGCAGATCCGGGCACCTGCTCAACAGGAGGTACCTGTACAGGACAGCAAGTCTTGCTTGCCAGGTCATTATACACCAGCAGAACTGAAGCCCTTCATGGAACGTCCACCACAGGACCCCAATAGCCCAGGTGCTGATGGAAAAGCTTTCAAGAAGGATCAGTGGACACAAGAAGAGACAAAGGAGAAAGAACATGGATATGAGAAGCACTGCTTCAATGCCTATGCCAGTGACCGTATTTCTCTCCAGAGGGCCCTGGGACCTGACAGTAGGCCTCCAGAGTAAGATTTTTCTCCATTCCACTTCTTATAGAAATACTGCTTTAGAGCAAACCAGGATGAATACAAGCAACCATTTGCTTTACCACATTGGGCATGCAATCACATGGAAAGTGGACTATTTGCTAGGTTGAGAACTTGACCCTTCTACTATTACTTGGGTTTCATATTTAGGAGGAGATGTGCAATAAAATAAATGGCATGTCCACATTATCAGTAATTGTTGCCCACATTTTTGCATGCCCAGTGGAATAAGCTTTTTGTCCTGTTTTGCATTTGTGGAGTGAAGTTTATGGGAATATTGATTAAGCTGGTGTTCCTGAACATTCCAGGTCATTCTTCAGCCTCTGTATGAAGAACAACTTTTAGATGAGAATCAAAATCTCTCTCTGAATGCTAGCAGCCACTCACCTTTTCTTATATACAGAGTTTGCTTTCATATGTACGTACTGCATTTAGTTAAGATGGGTGGATGGATAGGTCTTGAGAGAGAGAGATGGTCTCTAGTTCCTTTTAAAACATCTAAACTTCTGGTACTGATATGATAAAGAGAATGTTTGCTGTCTTGCAGAACTTCCTGTTCCCTTGGAAGGGAAAGAGTGTGACTGCTATGGATAGTACATCGAATTATGGGGGATGGGGAACCCTCTGGAGTAGCCCTCCAGATGCTACTCAGATTCAACTCCCAGCAGCCTCAGCCAGCATGTCTAATAGTGGAGGATGCTTAGAGTTGTAATTCAGCAAAATCTGGAGGATCAGAAGTGCCCCACCCGATTTATAGATAAAACACCCCAGTTTCTGATGTCAAGTTAAATGTAATTTAACTTGCAGATGTCATTTCAGATGTAATTGGGAGAGGAGCATGTCATGTTTCTCAGGCCATATTTTAGATCAGATCATGACTACATTTGCAAATGTTTACAAATGCAAAAAGTACATTTATTGGCTTATGCATTTGCAGGGGGTTCTAGGCTGCTCCAACTCTGAGTAGCATACAATTCCCCCTCCATAGGTTCAGATTAAAACACTCAACAACAACAACAACATAGTATGACATAATAAAAGCATGTATATAAGATCCAGGAATAAAAAAAAAAAATCAGAACAGAAATAATCACTTCAATAACTTGAGAGGAAAAGTGCAATCATTCAAACCCCAGAGCCTGTTTAAATACTGAGTTCTTAACAGACTTCCTAAATGCCCAAAGGAGTGCAATATCTATTGCGGGATGCTGTTTAAAGATGCTCTTCTTTAAAGAGTTTTATCAGTGCTGTTGCTCGTCATTGGCCCTCTTCTCCATTTAAAAACAAAGAGGATTTGTGGCTTTTGTGCACTCAGCTAGTCTCATTTGGTGCTCTACAGTAACTTTGGACTTCTCAGCAGCTCCATGGTGATTGGGAAAGCTGTAGTATAGAACACAGTTGGAATATGATTTTGCTATACAATCCCTGGGTTAAGAACAACCCATAGTTAAGAACAGAGCCTATTGTAACAAAATTTGAGTTAAATACACAATGGTTCAAGTTAAATACACAATGGTTTGAGTTCATTACACAATACTACCTATACAATATTATACAATAATACTCTCCCGGCTTACGTACAAATTCAGCTTATGGACAGACCTTGGGAACAGAACTCGTTCTTAAACTGGGGTCTACCTGTATAGTCAACTTGAGCACTGGCAACACATCTAAATGCTGTTCATGGCATATGGACAGAAATGTGGGTTGTTTTCAATATCTCCCATGTCAGTTTAGGCTGGTAGTGTGGCAGTCTCTTGCCGTGCCTTCAAGCTTAATTGATTCTGTGCCCTGTCTCCTTAAGCATCATTACTGAATGCCCCCTTGCTCTTTTCTCTTGATCTAGAAAAATCCTGTTGCTGCTTTGAGAGCCTTGGCAGGGAACTATGCAGTTGAGTTATCAGCACATACATGTGGCTGGAATGATAGTCAGTGTAGATTTATACATCCAGAGTAGGTTGGTCTGAGAGACAGTGATGTAAAGTTGTCTGTGACTAATCAAGTTTATAAAGAATTTGAATATAAAGCCCTCACTATTAAATTCAGCATGCTATCCAGTGTACTGTTACAATTCCTCCAATTTATTGTAGTCATGATCATTTTTATTTAATGGAAATACTGCATACTACCAGTGCATCTATAAAGTTTATGCAGGTAAGGTTAGAACTGTATTCATTTTCATTCATACAGAGATATTTCCTAGTAAAGGAAAATATATTCAATTAGTATTAAAATAGAGTGAATACCTCATGATGGTTAAATTTCAGTAAAGTTGATAGTAACAGGATTTAATAACCTGCATGTAGTGTTTGGCAGTAAGTGGACATATGCCCTTGGACTTGCTACGTAATATAATATGTGCAGACCCTACTGATGTGTGCGCATGTATTCATTGCACATCATACAGTGCACTCCTTGCATATACAGTAAGGTCTCAGGGATGATAATAAGCATTACCTCTTCATCAAAGCATTCTTGGCTAGCTGTCAAACTGGGATTCCTTGAAAGATTGAAAATAAATGGCATGATTATATATCATAGATGATATCCAATTTATCAGTATTGGAGAAATGGCTACGCTAGGTCCCAAGAAGTTCTGGGTTCAGATCTGTAATCAGCACACTTCGTTGATCGCCCCCTTGATGATATTGAGTTGATTACTCTTACAGAATAGTTGTTAGCAGGTGTCTGGAAATGTAATCATAATATTTTATAACTGAGAACTTAAACTTCACATTTGAAGTATGCTATTCCCAGAAGTCTAATGCTTTAAACTATTGAGCAATGTCACACATAAGCACCCTCTGAAAATGCACATTTAGGCCCTTCTCATTCAAAATGTTTATTTAAAAATGGTTGGCTGTGAGAGAATGTCCATCTATCAAAAGTGCCAAGGTGCAAAAATTTAGAACAACTCCCTGGCTTCTTTGTATGCAAGAATAAGAAAAGAAAGCCAAGAGCCTCTGATTCTAGCTATATCCATAGATTAGTGGGCACTGTCAAGATGGGTTGGAGGGAGGGGAAGTGGAGAAAAGATCACAAGAAATTCTCCAAAGATTAACTCTTACTGGTTTTCTTTCATCTCTGGTTAAGAAAAAAAAAAGAGCCCCGGGTTCAGTTCTGCTTTTTAATTATCCAATGCTACCCATCCTGCTGCCCCACATTCTCTTACCTTTGCGTCCCACTATTGCCCCATTTACAGAGCAGTGAGCATTGACAATTGCAGCTGTTTTCAACACATAAATAAAAAAAGGTTGCTCAAGTTCAAAAACTTCCTTGATTACATCTGTCGCCTGCCCTTGGTTTCGGTCCGTTTCCTCTAGCTTGGTGAAGCTCTGGTGCCTCCGTAATTTTTCACTTTGCTCGCCCAGTGGAACAGACACGGCTTACAGTACAGCAGGAGGCTGAGGATGGAGGCCAACCTGACCCTTGTTACCCCCTCCCCTTCCCCTGTGGTCTCCCAAGGCTTTCTAAGGCGGCGGCGGCTGCTGCTGCTGCTGCTGCTGCTGCTGCTGCTTTTCAAAGGGGGATAAGTCAGTCAAAGGACCCAACAAAGGCAGCTTGAATAATGGCTTAAAACTAGGCTGGCTTGGCAGACAGTTCCTCTCTTCAACTTACCTCCTACCCTTCTGACAACTGATTATTTCTGCCTAGCAGGTGTAGATATCACAATAGAAGAATGCTGTGTTCAAGGCAGAGTGCAAGAATGTTATTCAGTCAACCCAAAAAGCATAAACCAATTTAAATTAAAGTGTAAAGCCCTCCCAGAACCAAAACCATAAATCGGGGAAATTGGCTCGGGTGGAGCAAGCTTGTGAATGAAACTTTTATTGTTGAGTGCTTTGGAGAGGGATCAAGGGAGGGGAGGGAAACGCCTGATCTGCCATGTGGAACATTTTCCCCCTTTTGATGTGCCCTAGAGGTATGCAGCATGCAAGGGACTCCTCTCTCTTCCCGCTGAAAGATTCAGAGGGTGGTATGGGTAGTGGAATCAAAAGAGATTGGTATAAAGGCGGGGGGGGGGGCTGGCAGCTCCTTTTAACAAATGATTTGAATTCTCTGACTCTCTGCCAAGTGTTCCTGCACATGATTCATCTTGAATGTCCTAGAACTTACCATTCTAAGTACAAGAAATACTAAAGAAAAGCTTATTCCTTCAAGTTAAAGGTACTTTGTAGCTGGGTTATAGTTAGGTCCTCTCCTGCAGCAGGAGGAGTGGTCATGAGAAAAGCACGAATGTGTGTCTGCCTGGTGCTGCAGCAAGGTATTTTAAAGTGCTTCCTGTGTTTGCATGTCTGTGTCTATTGGGGGAGATCATTTGACTCCTGGAACTCAAAAAAGGTAGGGGTACCACTTTCTCACAGGGTGTTGGAACATTTTGAAAATACGTGTGATGTGAGCCTTGTGTGTTTCTACTGGCCACATGTTTTATGGTTTTATAAACAGTAAAATGGGCTTGTATACTAGTCATACATACCAAAGAATGGTTTTTCTTTTTCTTTTAAAGTAGAGCATCACTCTAGATACATGGAAGAAGCTTGCAATCACAATAAGTGCTCTTCTAATGTTTAACATGTATAGCTCCTTACTGATTTTAAACAAATAAAGCTCTTTTATGCCTAGTTCATTTTTTTTTTAAATCTCAGCATCAACTCTTGCAGCAGCTTGCCAAGCCCTTAAAGAGAAACCAGATTCTTCTCTGGTTTCTCAAGATACAATGGTCCATAGATTCCCTATCCCTGTTGTAAAGATATGTAAATAATTTACATATTACCTGGTAGATATATAAAGTGGGGAGGGAGATGCAAAGTTTGACCCTGAATTTGGTACCAAGTGAAGCCCAACAGATATACTTCAGCTTTCTGCACAGCATTTAGCGATACATGATACCTGAAAAATATGTCAATATTAATCTAATAAATGAATCAACAAATGTATTCAGGCAAGGATTAGCAATCGGTTGTAGACTTGAATGCTCCTCCCTTCTCCAGCTTAGGTACAAGATTTAAAATGTAGAGGGCAACTTAGAGCCCTCAACTCCATTTTTCACAGTTCTTGGAACCCTTTTAGTGGAGTAAACTCTGAAAATCAGAATGTGAGTTGGAAAACCCATAGAAATGGTAGCATAACCTAAGCTAAGAAAACATACATTTAAACTGCTAAAAGAAAAATCCCATTCCACAATAATCATACAGGTTTCACCTTCTCTCTACTATGACACTCTCTCCCACCCAGAATATTACCATATTTGCCTCAAAGGGGGGAAAAAACCTGACAATACCTCCCAAATCATTTGCAGTCATTTGCCTCCACTGTTACAACCTCAGTCATCCTCAAAAATTGCCCAACCCTTGTTAGAAGTTTTGGAGTTTAAGGTAGCCAGGGTTTCTCATTATGGTTGAACTGAATGTAATCAGGTTAACCATATGTTTTAATAAATAGTTCTTGGAATGAATGAGGATCCTGCTTTGTTTTTACAGACCATGGTTTAATTCTGCTAAGTTTTCTAGGTGTAACAATATACTGCAGCTAGTCAGAAATAGGAAGCAGAAGTTTCTAATCATTTATCATATGTGCAGCAGTGAATGATGGGGTTTTTTTGTATCTGAATGGCCAACCTTGGCAAAGGATCATAAACTACATGAGCTATGAGAAGCAGAATGTTTTGTGAAGGTCTTCCGCCTTTCTAAAGGAATGCATGCACTCTGTGAACAAAAAGATCTTCATTGTATCTTTCTGTTTTACAGCTGAGCTTGCAAACAATGGCAGAAGGCAATGCCGTTAGTCCCTAAATCTTCAGAGAATAAATGATCTCTCTCTCTCTCTCCCCCCTCCCCTTAATGCTCTGCATGTCAGAGTTTCCATTCACAAGCACATAGCAGGGAACCAATTGAGACCCTTCATTGTTGTGGCCTGCTTTCAGGGATGCAATTCATGACCTCATCCTATGACCTACAGGCACTTAGGGGCAAGGTAAAGGAGGGGGGAAGGAGCCTGGACTGGTAACCAAATGCAAAAGAGCTCTTGTGTCTCTTAAACATTAGGGAGAAGAGAGGATTTTAGCAGGTGCTGGATTTTTTCCCCTCTTGCAGTACTACAGCACTAAGCTGCGCCTATCGACGTTCCCCTTTGCAATCTATTTATGGGCCAGCTCAGGACTAGCGTAGTCCAGCGACTAAGAGGCTGAGCATGGAAGCACAAGGACCCATTTCAACAGTTGTCTTTGCCATGGGGTGTACTAAGTAGCCTGGCTTAAATGTTGTCTCTCTCAGACCTCATTTCCCCCACTTCCTGCAATGTGAGACTCGAAGTAGCATCAAAAGTGTTGGTTGAGGTGATGCCTAAAAAGCCAGACAAACGCTGGCTGACCCTGAGGAGAGAGGGAATCCATATACCTTTATAAATCACTGAAGATTTATAAAATAGTTATAAGCTTAGTGTCAGACATGGGTCTATGGGCAGGGAAAGAGGAAACATGTATGCCCAACACTTGTCCAGGCTCATTTCCACAGCAGTAAACAGTATCTTAGTATTACCTCTGAATGTGTAGTCTTTGTGGTTTGTGGTATGGCGATGTTAGCTCTTCAAATCAAGAACTCACATGCTTTGACAGATTATAGATCTTATACCCAGTATTTTAGACACACATCTTAGCTCAGATATGGTCATCTTAAGACATATGGGCAGCCAAACATAACAGTCAGGACAGATAGGTCCCAGAATCCCTGAGAGTCCAAGCTAATTTGGAAAATTCTGTTGTTTGAAGGACATAATGTTTCCATTCTAGACCTCAAGAACACGTAGTAAGCACATTTTGGCCTATGGACAAGTTTGTCCTTGAGATGTAGCCATTTTCTCAGTTGTATAATTGTATATGTCTGAATTTTAAAACTGAAATATCTACTTACAAGAAGGGTTTTCTTAAATAACCAAAAAGTGCTAAAATATGTATATTAAACTCCGTATACGAGCATGAATGCAAAGCCTATGTAACTGAAATGAAAAAGTGTTCACTACCTAATCAATGTAAGGCTCATACCTAATCTTAGTTGTAATTTAGATTTAATGTTCCTTTTGCAGGTGCATCGATCAAAAGTTCAAACGCTGTCCACCCCTTCCGACCACCAGCGTCATTATTGTCTTTCATAATGAAGCCTGGTCAACGTTGCTTCGCACCGTCTATAGTGTGCTGTACTCTTCTCCAGCTATATTGTTAAAAGAAATAATTCTTGTAGATGATGCCAGTACAGATGGCAAGTATAATCTATTTGAAACTCTGTATGCTTGTGTATTATTCCTGAAAGACAATGAACTGTGATGTATGTAAGAAATATTTTAAGACTGGATCATGATATCCTATTTGCCTTGAGAACTGCATTACTGAGTACCCGCATCTATATCTAGAGTTGGACAGCCAGCGCTCATTTCTCTGTTGGAAGTATCCAATCTAACTGGTTTAAATTAAAGGCTATATAAAGCAAAAGCAAGGAAGGGTCTTGAAATTTCCCGTCCACACTGAGCTCCTGAACATCAGACTGTAGGCATTCTATTCTCTTCATCAACCTTGCCTCCCATGCTATAATACACGGGATGAAGAGAAACAGATTCACTGTTTTGGAATAACAAGCCAAAATTCAGACCTAAGTCCAGAGATATTGCAAGTCCCCAAACAAGCTGTTTATGCTAGAAAACCCTGAATTAAAGCAGTTTTGCCTTCAGGAATGGGCCAAAATTCCTACCTCTCAGTGTGAGAAATTGATCACCAGTTAACATTTGCAGTTACTGAGCTAAAGTTGGTGCAGTCAGTCATTGAATCGAAGGAGGAAATTACTTTTTCATGCTGCCATGTCACATATTGGTTGATTTTCTTTATATAATAAATGAAGCAGACACCACACTTTGGTGTTACTCATTAACTCACTCCATTTATATTATACTAGGACCCACATGAAGCTCTGATAATATCCTGTGGCAAAGATATACAAAAATTTAGAAAACAGGGTGAATACTTTTTCACAGAACTGTATTTAGCCTCCATCCAAACTACTCAGCTGGGCAAGTTTAGAAACCACAAACTGTATTTAGCCATCTAAATTGGCTATACCTCAGATTAAGATAATGACATGGTTCAACATCACAGCTTGTATACTGTGCCTCAGCCTGCCTCCCTGACTCTCTGCCACTCAAGGTTCTCAAAGGGCCACTAAAGATACGACAGTAAAAGGTTTTCTGAGTTCTTATGAATACACCAATGAGTTTGATGTAAGTTTTAATACCAGCTTCTGCATACTATCTCTCATGTTGGCCCATTATTCCTGCTTCCTCCTTAGATTGAGAACTTTCTCTTCTACTCCACCCTGCATGCATTCTTTGCTTTCTCTCTTCTTATGGAAACCTTCAAATTGTCTTCAACTTTTCCCCTCCATATGGCAGGGAAGATTATTTTGAATGTTCCTCCAGTGTACCTTTTCCTGTGTCCTTAGCTCCACATTTTTATAATGCAATGTTTTATACTGGTAGTTAGAGAAATGAAAAACACAATTAGCCAAGTATGAAATCTGTTGATGGCTGAAGTATTTTTTTCCTTCTAGTAAGATTAATATTTTAAAAATTCTTAACCACTTATTGAGCCAGTCAAATGCTTAAACTGTGAACAGAAGTGGGTACAGAAATTGGTGGGTACAATCTTGTATGGATTCTTTGGTTTCAGAGGTATCAGGGATCCTAGCATAGGACAAGGTGGAGGCTGGCCAGCATGTTCCTGTAGAATACATGCTTGCTTCTAGGAGGGTATGCATCTTCTCCAGTTCTATATGCTGCTTTTACCAAGTCAGACTATTGATCCACCTAGCCAAAGATGTCTTCTCTGTCAGGCTCTCAGAGAAATGCAAAAGGAGCCTCCCTCCAGTTTATATTTACAAGACATTTATGAGATGAGATGAGATGAGATGAGATGGAAAGAAAGTGGTTTCATCCAAAAACACTGGGCTTCATGGCTAAATGATGCTGTCCTGCTCCTAACTTGATCCTGTTTCACCGTAGCATGCTTTTTCTTACATAATACTCTAACACTTTCCCTTGTCTCAGTCATGTTTCCCCCTCCCATTGAGAACTCAGTCAAGGAAATCTTAAATCATTGCTAATTTAATAATGGGAGTTTTAAGAGCTGTACCCCCAACACATCTGGAGATAATGTGGTTGTGGAAGGCTGCTCTTGAGCAAACTGGTTAAAGTTTCTTGTTCTATCAGATTAAGCAGATCTCATTTCCAGAAATGATAAGCAGCTTGTTCAAAGCAGTTATGGCTTTTGAAGCACGATATTTTGAAAAGTTTAATGTCCTCTCTGACTGCTTTGCTGTAGCTGCAACATTTAACTATGCGGTTATTTTAGAGATTCTGGGACATGATACTGTGATAACATACAACTCTGACACTGTAAGGGTGATTTCTGTGTTTTTCACAAAACCTGCCCTACAGGAAAAGTGAGAAAACTGCTGCTTTATGTGGGAAGCAAGCAAATTATTGGCTGGCAGCCTGCCCTTTAAAATAGTAACTTTAAAATCGAAGGGTGAGGTATAAATAAAATGATTCTGAAGACAGATTAATTAAGGTGTTTTGTTGCCAAAGGTAGAACAGCAAATGTTCTTTTCACAGTTGCATAGAAATCAAGTTACTTAACATCTGACCCAGAAAAGATCATGGATTATTCTCTCTGGTGGAAAAAAAATACTAGAAAGAAAAACTGAATATATCTAGCAATTTTTCATGATACATCAGTTTCTCGAGGTAACTTTTTCACTCTGCCTAATGATAGGAATGCTGTCACATAGCTGTAAGGGTTTTCTTCAGTCTCCTGCCTTATTATAGTGGATGAGATGTTGCATTGGCTCTTTCCATGCTTGTGTAGAAGGCAGAAGAGTTTTCCAGTCGAGTCTTAGGTTTGGGCCATGAACACAGAGATTCCTGTTCCCCATCACCTTCTCAAAATCAGAATCTTGCGTGGATGAGTTGCTCAGTTTCCTTGAGCAGTAGATTCAAAGTAGCATAAAATATGAGTTCCAGACATCTTCGAATGCCTGGCGCAGCATTCTGAACAGGAAGGCAGCGACGTGATCCCAAATTTCTGCAGTTGTTGATACATGTAGACAAAGGCATATGAATTTTCCGAACATAAATGGCTTGTGATTCTCTTTGAATCTTGTAGTGTTATAATCCTCCTAGCCATCCATATATATAATAATAATAATAAGGATTATACCTTACAAACATCAACTCACCCCCTGTCAAGAAGCTGTTGTCTATTACTTGCTTCCCTAGCTGGAAATTTTCCTAACAAAGGCTGTGCCTGCTTTGAACTGTTTCAGAAACATTCAGGCCCATTAACCCCTCCCTGTTCCCATCTTAGGCTAACACAGGAACAGAAGGCAGGGTCGGTTCTTAAGAAAATGATGCTTATTAGTTTAAGTAAAAGACAGAGTGGTTTGCTCTCTATTTTGCTATCTATAGCATATATACAGGGAAAATTCCAAGGCCAGTTTTGTTCCAATGGCTCAGGAAGAATTTAAATCAGTAAGAATTCAACTAGTTGGAGTTTTAATTAATTATTAAAAAGGACAAGTAAACTGGCATCACTAAGAACTCTATTTTTAAATATACATTTTAATGCAGATAGCTTACACTTATTGGGCTATTTTATTTAAGTTTTTGCTTGCTGTTAGGCCCTGATTACATACATGCACTTACGCACAGACAGAAAACATCCCTATCTGGCTGTTTTTAGGCTTCCTCACCATAAATAGTATGTTCTGCTGATAAAGATTTTATCCTCCTTTTCCTGTGAAGAGTGAAACAGATTTTTGCTCTCTCTCGCTGCCTTTATCCTCGCAACAGTCGAGGTAAATTGCAGATCCAAGGCCTTCCTTGCTGTCCCTTCTTGTAGTTCACTAGCTTAAAACCAGATTTATACCGGGTGACCTTCAAATGGAGGGCTTGTCAAGAACAACACATGATCACCATGCCTTTTCATACTGAAGAATGAAAAAAAAAGTATTCGCCCATTTTCCTAGGGAGGGAGAGTATGTATGTTCATATGTGTGTGACTGCAAGAAGAAAACTCCTCAGTTGCTCTAACTGAAAGTTGTTTTCATGTTGTTGTCATTTTCCAATTCTGGGCTGTCATTTCCTGCCCTCCTCCTCCTCTTTACCATTACTATACCCTTCAAATTCACAGCAGAGTTCTTTAGCTGAAATTTACAAAGCTAACCATCTCTCACTACAGAGATCTGAACCACTTCCTGCCACAGGTTGCACCTGGCAATCAACAGCGTGGTCAGAATAATTCTAAATAAGGACTTGGCTTTGATGCTAAGAAATGCTGGGTTAGGAGGAGGGATGAGAAAAACAGAGAGACTCTCAGCTTCCCTTTTTTTTCTCCGTGATAAGTAGGATTCTGCAATTAATGCAAGGAACTGAATGTGGACAGGCAGGATGCTCAACATCAGTTTTTCCCAACCTGATGCCCTCCAGATGTGTTAGATTCCAACCCTCATAATTGGATGTGCTCTGGGGACACCAGAGTGAAGGAAAGGAGCCTGTTGACCTTAAATATTAGCATAGGAAAGGACGTCACTGAGAAGTATTATCTTCTGTTTGAAGAACAACTGTGTAGCAATAGGAATTGCCTTGTATACACTCCTAAAATTAGTGTTAAGCAGCAAGCAAAAGTAATTAGATAAACTTTTAGGCATCTGTACAGAGTCACCCTTTTTCCCACCCCACCCCTATCTGATTAATACATGCTTTCTTACTCAGTGCATTCTGTTTTATTAATCAGTATACCTTCTCATGTCGACACTGCATGAAACGCTTAGACCCAAAACAGTCAGGGAAATAAATCACCCAGTCTTGTTATTAAACTTGGAACCCCTAGTGCAGTTTGTTACTCAATGTTTAATTTTAATTCACTTTTAATCCTTTAAAAAATGTATAGGGGCTTTGCTGCTTTTGCAGCCCATGGTGAACCAGGTTGCAACTCGGTCCTAGTATGTTCTCAGCTGCTTGCTGAAGACCAGTAATATAGGAACATTTTCCAAATAATGGGAAAGAAATTTGGGCAATGGGGAGCTACAAAGTTTAATGCTTTATTCAAATGCTGCAGATGTATGTTTGGTTGTGGTGTGCTCCCCAGGCTTGGATAACAAGAATCTCGGCATGTCTGGAGTGCAGCAGTCTCTTCTACAGCATAATCTTGTGTGAGTTTATTTGAAAGTATGGCAAACTGCTTTGAGGTATTAGTATATACATGTAAGTAAGTGTGTGTGGTTGAGAACAACTTTCAATGACCATAGTGAGTTTTTACTTTCTTGCACCAATGTGTGCGAAATTGCATTCTTTGACTGCTAAAGATTGTACTTTTTTTCCTTCACTACCTTTCCCTGGTTCCCTCTTCTCATCCTTTTTTTTCTGGGTCATTCCTTTCTCCAATCTCCAATGTTGCTTCATAAGCACTTTTTGGTTCTTCAGCTTGTTTTCAAGTAAAAGTAAAAAGTGAACTTGTAAAATTAAAAACCAGAGTTTAAATTGGTCCCCCAGAGGGCTGAGAATCTGAGCCCCGCTGTCCCCAGACTCTGGAGCATCACGCCCCTCTGACTGGATGCATTCTCTTTCAGACTACTTGAAAGACGAGTTGGACAACTATGTGAAGCAATTGCAGATAGTCAGGGTTGTCCGACAGTTGGAGAGGAAGGGCTTAATAACTGCCCGATTGCTTGGTGCCAGTGTTGCTACGGGTGACGTACTCACTTTCTTGGATGCTCATTGTAAGTAATAATCTTCTTTGCTGATAAAGTCTGGCTTTTTTTTTTTTCTTGACATACAATGCTAGTTCATAGACACATATGTGTTCATTCAGTGTTTCTCAACACATCTTAGAGTTGCCAAGGTTGAGAAAATTGTGTCAATTGATCACTATATCACTTGGGCTGGTTCACAGCAGCATGTTCACCCCTTGATGAATCTCCATCCACTAGTGACCCACATGTTTAATGGGTAATGGCAGAGCTAATGCTACAGATTCTGATTGTTGTGTCAAACATAATAGCTTCAGTGAAGTCAGATGTAATTGCTTCAGTGAGTAAATGCAGAGAAACCAACTGATACACATAAAGTGTGAATTAAATATGGGTGGATGGCAGTTGAATGAATGAATTAATAGACTACTAAAAGTATTGTCTTTTGTTCAAGATGTAAGGCAATAAAACTGCTTCCAACCTGCTCAGATCCACATTCATCATTCAATATTTCATTGTAAAGGAAGTAAAGTAAGAGTTATTAGGAGTCGGGCACATATAAATTCAATACATTATTATTACTATTACTATTATTATTATTAATGTACTGTACATACAAGTGTGAATGTTCTCTGTGTCCTGGGGGCATGTTCTGATTCTCTAGTGTATAGTATGTAGTATAAAAAAACCCTTAGATAAACTTAATTCCCAGAAATGTTCAATGTATTTACTTCAGCCATTTTTTCCATCCATTTTCTCATAGAGCCTCATATGATCTCTTGCCTCCAAGGTTCCATTTTTGTCCATAATAAAGTGTAAATTACTTAATGACAGAATTGTAGTAGGAAAGAAGTGTATTAAGCAAGCTAAAAAGTGAAAGGGTAAAGGTAGACGAGGAAGGCTGGGACCTCCACAATTATTCTTTCCAATGTGATAGTGACTGATAAATGAAGCAGCTGGTTTAAAAGTATCCAGAAGCAAAATTTGCTAATGGAATTAGCTTTGCCAATGCCAAAATCGTGATGGATTGAACACAGTTTCTGATGTGCAAGGGACTTCCTGGCTCTTTTGAGCCTGACTGTCAGAGGAACTCAAGAAGTCAAACCTCCGTACAAATACAGCATGATGATTTTTTCATTTCATGGCAATTTTGTATAGTCTTTTGTGAAGAGGTCCGCAATGCACTGGAATACTTACAATTCTTGATCTCGCTTCTCGAGACCACTGTGCATCTGTGGTGAGACCTGGGGTAACTGGGGCTAATTTCTGTTTACAAGGCAAAGTGTTGAAATTGACACCTGGATATGTTTGTGCAAGTTTTCTTGGCAGCAATATGAAAGTGCCTTACCACTGTCTTTTCCTGGAAAGGTGTTTTTGAGTTCTTAGTCTAGCCAAAGGCCCTGGTATTCCCAAACAGTCTCTAATCCAAATACTAGCCAGATCTGGTCCTGGATAGATTCTGAGCCCAGAAAAGATCAGGTGTCCTTGTCCTGGAAATGTTAAGCTAATAGAAGCTTTTAGAAGAAAATTGAGGGTCCATATGAATCTCCATGGGCAAGAAAGTGAAGGTTATGAGAGAAATATTTGCAGAGTAACAATTCCTGAGCATCTGGTATCTCTGAAAAACCTGAAAGGTAGAAGTGACCATAGCAGCAGCATTTGGAAATAGGCTTTTTTTTTCCCTATGGAGTCTACATCAGATGATGTAGCAGTTCCTGATTCTCTTTTCTTAGGTGAATGTTTCCATGGATGGTTAGAACCTCTCCTATCACGCATTGCTGAAGAGCCCACAGCTGTGGTCAGTCCAGATATCACCACCATTGACCTGAACTCCTTTGAATTTTCCAAGCCAATCCAATATGGGAAGCAGCACAGTCGGGGAAACTTTGATTGGAGTCTCACTTTTGGCTGGGAGGCTATCCCTCAACATGAGAAGCAGAGAAGAAAAGATGAGACTTACCCAATCAAGTAGGTCCAGGTTGAAAGTTTGATACTGTTGTCAAAGAATCTGGGGAAGTAGAATTTCAGTCATGAAACAAACATCATGGTATTTCTACTTTTGTCAGAAATTGGGAGGCTGGGATTTTGCCTGGACAGAAGTAGCTGGATTGCTTCAAGATTCTCTTGATGCAGCCTTCTCAAACTGAGTGCCTTCCAGATGTGTGGGCTTCAACTCCTAAAATTCTCACCCTGCTGACTGGAATTGTAAGTGTCAGCCTGAACATCTGGAGAGCACCCAGATTGGAAAAGGCATCAGTATCATTGGCTGCGATATTCTGAAGGGTTACCTGACAGGAATGAGACTGAAATGCTGGCCTCATTCCTGCAGAGTTAGCCAAGGAAGTGCATCTAGCTGACCTATCTGATATTTCACGTTAAGTAGCATCTCTGTCGAACCAGTGGGAAGAGAATATCTGAAGGTTTGCACTGAGATGTTCTTAGCATGTGAGGCTGATCCACAGCTCTATCTCTTATTCCCATCTTCTAATCAAAGTGGAAATGATTGCTTTCTATCCATTGTGCCCAAGCTGGTTACCTTACACTGTTGTCTCTCCCAAAGTTGGGAGTGGTGGTGTGAGGAAACCATTATATGCCTGAAGCTTGTATGGTTAGCCTCTGTAAATAGGTAACTGGATCGTGCTTTTATGATAATAGTTCACAAAGCTTGGATACAACTATCATAAATTAGATGGACAGCTTGTACTTGCAGGTACTGTACTTACTCCTCCCATTTAAAAACCAGGGCAAAGGCTATCCTGACATCCCATGAGCTGAGCCTAATTAGCCAGAATCATCATTTCTCCTCTCCTGCTGAAAGGAAGCAAGAACAATGCCACAGGCAAGAATGAACCATTCAGTTAGCTCTCAAACTACAGATAAGGAGTATTGAAGAAAAAAACTTTTACTGCCCTTGCCTTGCACTTCTGTGGATTAATTGAAGCCCTGGTTGGGGCACAACAAGCAGAATAATTCACCAAAACCACAAATTAACCATCTCTTCACCACTTATACTTCACAGTAAGCTACAGCTGCAATAAGTAAACCAGCAACAAACAATGGTTTGCTGCCCTAAAAAAAATGGTTTATGCCTTCTTCCTGTTTGCACATCACGCTAAACTGCAAGCAAACAAATCACATACTTTGTGCAATGTGTAAAGCCAGCTCGGAAGTTTTAATGATGGACCAAGAGATGTATCAGGCAGCATTTTTCCATATTATAGCTCCTGAAGCCGAAACCTTTCCAAGCGCCTTTCTCACTGGTCTGGGATCTCTCGTGGCTGAACCCTGCCTATAGAAACACACTTTTTGTGGTTTAGGCCAGCTGCCAAGGTGGGGAGGGGGAACGCAATGCCGCCTCCTTGAACTCTGAGTGAAGGGAGGTCATGAGGAGCTTCTTTCCCAGAAATGAAAGAAGTTATTAAATCTCTTCAGGCTCCAGTCGGGTCTTGCTGCTTTGTGAAACTTCTCAGTAAGAAGTCAATTGTTTCTTTTAATCTTTTGCACTTTATCTTAAATTCAGTCCTTTCAATACCTTGCAACAACCTGCCTGGGTTTTTAAAATCTGGTCATACATTTAGTGTTAACAAAACATAACAAAGGAGTCTACTGCTTGCATGTAACAAAAGGACTGGGTTGAGCAGGAACAGTACAGATGCATTCAGCTGGGGCCCATTTTAGCTACAGCACTGTCATTGAACATTGTAACTACAAGCACAGGCAAGTCCTGTCCTATTTCCCATGCCTGCCCTCCCCACCCCCCAAAACCTTCTTCTGTTGAAGCTCGGAGGAGGAAATTATTTTATTTTTTTATTTATTTATATTTCAAATTTGTCACCGCCCATCTCACTGTGGAGTGACTTAGAAGCATCCACATCTACTTTTAAAGTAACTGGAGTCCCTCAGTGCATTCCAAACTTAGGGTAACCCTGATGTAGCCAGAGCTCCCCCAAGTTCAGATACGATGAGGAACTCAGGTTAGTTTGGAAAGAAAATGGGTGCTTCCAGTGCCTTCATGGCTACCTCAGAGGGGAAGGAATACACCAGCCTAAAAGTCTTTGCACTGCTAAACTGTAGTTTGACCCTGAAGGACTATACTGTATATACATGATAACTTTTCAGAAAGCTGGAAGGCATATAATAAATCACAGGCATAGACGGCTTAGTGCAGAATAGAAAAATAATGTCAGAGGTCATTAGTCTGCTTAGTACATTGAGCTGATCAAATTCACTCTAGCTTTCTCACCAGAAGTTTTGTAAAAGATGCATGCATGTTTCTGGTATGATTCCATGAACGTACTGAAGCTCTTGTCTCTAGAGCAGTGTTTCTCGACCTTGGCAAGTTTAAGATGAGTGGATTTCAACTCCCAGAATTCCCATGGCTGGCTAGGGAATTCTGGGAGTTGAAGTCCACTCATCTTAAACTTGCCAAGGTCGAGAAACACTGCTCTAGAGTAACGGATTCTCTTCTGCTCTCCAGTGCCTGGAGAATATATCCATATTTGAGCAGTAGGAGCTATTTCTTTAGAGTTTGGTTTACTTTAAATAGTTTATGTGAAAGGACAAACACCTCTATATAGGCAAGTGTAGCAAGGATAGTAAGTTATCTTTCACTTTTCATTAGTAGGCTGTAGTTAAACAACACTTACTGTGTTTTGACTTTCCTGTGCTTGTAAAAATCACTTTATGAAACTGATACTGGGGTCAAGTCCTTTAAACTGTAGTTTAAAATCTAGTTGTATTCTGAAAGCATTTTGACATCCCTTCAGTGTAACGCAAAAGAATATACAACTCTTAGGGATTGTTTAGAACCCTTACAGCTGTGTAAGTACCTCCGGCAATCATTTTTACTGGACTGTATAGATCCATAATATACTCCTTGTACACTCTTCCTTTCAATTCAGTATCTTGTGACAACAGAGAACTTTCAAGAGCTGATGGATTAATTCTAATGCTGGGCTGAATCCTGGTGTCTGAGATATGGTACATATAATAAGATGGATGATGTGGGACAGTCATTTCTTACTATGCGCTTCATCTCGTGTGTTTCACGCTGATCCCACTAATCTCTAATCTGCCATTGGGATTGGCACAGATGTATTTTGTTCCTAAGCATCTGTCAGTGCACCTGATAATTAAATACTCCTGGCCACAGTCTAGCCCTGAGCTCTGTGCACATGATTCCAGTGGGCTTAAGGATGACTAAATCTGAGTGAGACTGTGAGTTCTTCTTAGAATGTTCCCCACGTCCCACCCCCAAGAATAATCTTTAGACTACTGAGTTTGTACACCTATGTGCCCAATTAAAAGAAAGAAAAGAAAGAGGCAACACATTTTATTTTTAAACAGAAATAATGTCTAAGAGGATGCTCCATTTCTGGGGTGGTATTCTCTTCGTTGAGTGGGAAAAATGGAATACCTCTTAGATGAGGGCTTTCCTGACTTTTTGTGAAGTAGTTACATTTTTGTTTTGCTCTAGTTATATGTGAACTGGCTGCAGACTTTTCCAGGCCTGCTTGATGATTGAAACTGAGGCTGTCATATTTACCATTATGAATTTTTATGAGTTTATATTTCATGGAGCTCTTTATTGTGTTTCATAAGTAACGGTGGATCTGCAGGATTTCAGTCTTTCTTAAAACACGGGTGCATGCAAAGCACATACTGTACTACTGCTGAGTGGCGTTTTTTCCTTTTCCAAGTGCAGATCATCAAATAATGAATTTGCATATTTGAACCAGGATTGAATTTTGAAATGTGTAGAAGAGGCCATCTGTTCTTGCAGCAATTCTCACGAACCATAATGCTGAAAATGTTTGGAATGAGTCTCAATATTACTGACACAGCTGCATAGTTTAAATGTGTACCTGCTGAAGAATCACAGCCCCTCTTGCAAAGGAATTCTAAGAGCTATACCTCTGTCTTGCAAGATGCTAGAAATTTCTAATGGAGAATACTCACCTCCTTTCAGAATCTTTCATTTTTTAGAATCTCTTGTTGGAACCTAAGCTAATTAAATTGGGGTTTTAAAAAAATGTTTGCAGTATTAATACCCTTCTAAGACCACTTCTGCACTCTCCCCCCTCACCACAAGATCAGAAAAATAAGAATTGAAGTGATTTACCTCCAAGGGTCATTGGGGTATAGTACAAGGTTTGTAAGCTGCTTGTGAGACCCACAGTTCCTTGAGAGACAATGACAGGACCTTTTCTTCCCTGCTGTATCAAAGCAGGATAATAAGGGCTATGACATGAAAGGACCAAGGTTTGTTCCTTCCTCTTTCAAACTCTGCCAGCCCCTTGTCTCTCTTGGCAGTGGACAGCTGAAGAGTCATTAAGGTAACCAGCCTCTCCACTTCTTAAAGCTTGAAATGACCTTGAAATTCATAGTGCAAGCCATTTGATACCGGCTTGGCCCTCCTCCTTTCCAAGAGTGAGACAAAATCCCATTCCTTTGGCCTCAAGTACAGCTCTCCTTTGTGCAGAGGTCAAACAGGAGGCTGTTCTGTCCCAATGAAAGAGGCACAGAAATTCCTTTTTGTTATTGCTGATGGAGAGAGAGAAAAAAAAAGAGACATTGGCAACTTGGCTTTTCAGCAGCTCCTAATCTCCACTGGCTACAACAGAGTGCTGGTTTCAGAGAAAACCTTGCTGAAGCAAGTTTCTGGTGCCAATCTCAGCTTTTCTCCTCCTTAAAACAAACAAACATAGAAGCAAGCACCAGGAGCTCTGGGGTAACTAATAATGAAAGCGGTGCAGTTGACAAAACTCTGTCCCCAAGTACTCTTATTTGTGCCCCAGCCTTTGCAACAATGATACCCAAGGATGAATAAAGGCCCTGTCTGCCTCTGAAGGGCCATCCTTGAAGCTCCTCAGGAATGTGATCCACCCCAAACCCTGTGGCTATTTCTTGTTTTGGATGCAGTCAGTCAAGAACATGCTTCAAATTATTAAGTTTGAGTCTTTTTCTCCACCCCTTCTGATCTAATTCTGGAATTAGCAGCTGTCATCTTGTCAGCAAGTGTTCGAACTACCTGGCAAAATGTTTTGGACAAAAGGTGGCAGGAGGGATGAGGGGAGAGCATCTTTGTGTGAACATGTACCACGCACGTGCACAGTTCTGCATATTAACTTCATTGTGTTTGTTTAGATTTTATATGTATAGCCCTGCTTTTTGATCAACAATAGAGTGATTTAAATTAAATAAAAATTATTGGACAAACATCAGTTTGGTTTGGGGATTTTTTTTGTTTTTGTAAAAAAAACAGTTGTAGATGATACTGTTGTCTAAAGACTTTTCAGAGAAAGTAAGAGAAAACACTGCCTTCTCCCTGCCCCCCCCCCCCAGCACACAGGATTTTTTTGTTCCTCTGAGTGAAGCACCACCACTCAGATAGGGGTGATTTGTGATTCCTAACTTTTGTTGGTAACCGAAGCAGGGATTGTGGGTATTGTTCTGGGGGGGGGGAGAGTGTCTAGGTTAATGCTTTAATTTTGTTCCTTAAAATTCCATTTTTATGCTTCCTTTTATGTCAAAGCTGCTTTCCATTTAATTTAGAAAATTAAGGTTTTAAGAATACTTGGTAGTATTCCAGAAACTAAAGAGGTACAGCTTTATGGACAATCAGTGGGGACAGTAATATTAAAAACTGTACCAATATTCAGCTTATTCTCAAATCTTGCTGTATTTTTTTCCTAAAAAGACATGAAACAATCAGAGTAGTAAAAGCCACGGTAGATCACTTCTCAAAGGTTGCTTCAATAGATGGGTGTTTGAAAGTTGCCTTTGATATATTGCAGCCAAAGCCCTGCCCTTCCAACTTGTGTGATCCACTTTGATCAGGGCTTGGGAAACTTCTCTAGTTGTTACTGTCCACAGCTCCCAGTGTCCTTCTGTATTGCCTATGCTAAGTGGAGATGCTAAAAATTCAGCAATATCTGGAGTGCCATATCTTTCCCTGCTCTAGCCATTGTAATCTGGTTTGGACTCTCCTTGACAGTTCACTTGGAGTTTCAGAGAGAAGGAAGACTGATTTCAGTTTTCCACTCAGTAAATAATTCGCTTATCAGGATTTTCATAATAATCCTATGCTTCTTACTTTTGCAGGACTCCTACATTTGCTGGTGGTCTCTTTGCCATTTCCAAGTCCTATTTTGAACATATTGGCTCCTATGATGATCAGATGGAAATCTGGGGAGGGGAAAATGTAGAGATGTCTTTTCGGGTAAGAAGGAAAGCTACAATAGGAATGGGCTATGAATGTCTAGATATAACTTTTTAAAAGGGGGGGGGCATTTTTATTTTTTACCAGCTCTCTGAAAAAGCTATCTTTAAAGAAAAAAATAAGTAATAGATTATCATTCCCTGATATGCTGGTTTAGGATTTTGGGGTTAGATTTGTGGGTTTACTTGCCCCTTGAGAACATTAGGTTGAATACATCTTGAAAAATATGAAAATTTCAGGGTGAAAATCTACAAAATAATTGAAAGGCAGATGGAACATATAATATGTAGATGCTTCTAAGATGCTTTTTATAGGATAATATTTGTGTTGAATTTTAGTTTTGTTACTATTTTTACCCTAACCGTCCTTAAGGTGGGTGAGGATTGTCAATCATGCTTTTAATCCTCCCCATTTTGCCCTAACAATAGCCCCGTGGGGTAGATTATGCTGAGTGATACCTGGCTGTAAATTACTCATTGAGTTTTCTTGCTAAGCTTAAGCCTGAACCTAACGCTGAAGTCCAGCACTGCTTCCTTAAGTGTAGACTTTATTCCTTGAACTGCATATACTTTAAATGAACCTATGAAATTGTTGTCATGTTTCTTCACATAAGTGTTATTTTATTTAAGTTTTGTTATGATTTAGATTGTCTTTACATTGTTTTGGATTATGCTTAAATAGTGCTGATGTGGTGTACAGTAGTAGTAATATCTTATAACCTAACTTAGTGCATGGAATTTGTCACAATAATGTTGTGAGGTGACATTCTCACCGTCTCACCCCTGTTATCTCAGCCCGCCCCACTCAGTCCGGTGGAAGGGGCATGTTGCAGACCCCACCAGTCAAGAAATTTCGACTGGTGGGATCTAGGAAGAGGGCCTTTTCTGCCGTGGTCCCCGCTCTGTGGAACAATCTACCTCCTGAGGTGTGGTGTGCCCCCACTCTCATGGCCTTCAGGAAGAGTGTGAAATCTTGGCTATGCCAGATGGCCTGGGGGCTGGATGGGGGCTCACACCAGTGGAAGTGGCTTGTGGGATAATTGATTTTACCCACCAACACCCCCTGTCATCTTGAATGTCTTTAGTATTTATGTATAGAGTTTGTTTTTATAGTGGATTTTTATAGAATGAGGAATTTAATTATTTATGGGGTATTTTAATTGTTTCTGCGCTTTTGATTTTTAATTGTA